TTATCTCGCGAAAAAATGAAAACGACCGATGATCCTAGTAAAAGACCATAAAATGTCTTTATCTTTTGTGAACTTAAACAACATGTGATACCGAATTGTGAAATAATTAAACATTTGCTGTTTTGCTAGGTTTCTGTGACATAATGATAACTATCGATAAATAATAAATATAGTAGTTACCCGGACAAAAAGCGATGCAGTATTTTGCTACTCTAAGAAAACGTAGAGATATTTTTAAAATGTGCTATTTTGAGAAATATGGCTGAATTATCTATTATCAAAGAACACGAGAATTAGCTGCGCGTAAAATGTTATTTCGCATAATTACTGTATTTTGAAGCTATATTTTAATATTGAATTGGACTAGTGGTCTCTTCCCATGAATCTTCAGCTAGATATCGCTATCTATGTTCCCGACCACGCGTCGTCCTAGATATTTCCCCAAGAAAAGATACGAAAAGAAGTTGATGTCGATCATAAATCGTACGTTTTCGGCATATTACGGTGATGTGCTATTTTCTAAAGAGACGCCTGCGCACGTGCCCGGGCGAGAAATCACGCGCGTGACGTCAGCGTGCGTCTGGGAACAGCTGACCGCATTCCACGATAATTGTTTTGCATAATCGCGGTGGAAGCGGCCGTGCGGTGGAAGCCTTACTTACTGTGTCCGCGAACAAGAGAAAGAGGCCGAGAGCGAGATAAGTGGGGGTGGAGAAAAAAGTAGAGGGGAGAAAATTCGAAAGGGCCCTCTCTCGTTGCGTGGTAAAAAGGGGAGGGGGAGGAGGGAGAGGGTCCGCGGACCGACAGCGGCGACCCTGGTCCAGCCGTCAATAGTTTCGCGGCCGACTCGCGCGTTGGCTTTTAAAGTTTAAAGATCCGACCGCGACGGCGTCTAGGCATGCCAGCGGTGCTCAACTCGTGGCACCATAATGACATTTCATTCATAAAGTGGAAATAGATTCCATGGACTATATAAATATAAAATGTATTATCTAAAGTGTATAATAAGTTCGATACCGGATTATGCACTTAGAAATTGAGATTGACCAATCAAGACAAAAAATCTCCGTTTCTTTTGTTCTAATTATTGAAATTTTAATTTTTAATATACAATCTAATATTGATTTAATTATAACAGCGAAATTACGCGCAATATTAATTTTTCTATAAAAATTTGATCAGATGCTTGAATATTCTTATTTTAATCTCAGATATTACGTATTTTTGCAGTTAAATGTTGCATCAAGATTAAATTCCACATGAAATAAAATTTTATTCCCTATTTGCAATTCCTAGCGATGACTCATTTATTGATACCGACTATTGCGAGAAAAACATATCAATGACTCGATATTGCGAAAATCAATTATACGACTTTTGAAATAGAAGCAAATAAGATCGCGAAAGCGCGGATAACGAAACGGTGACGAAAGATCTTTACATGAAATATCTACAAAAGGAGGTTAAAGAAAATATCACGGACCGAGCACAGCTACCGAGATATTTGTACCGTATATGGTACTGTGTTTAGCAGTGGCCTGCCACGTCCCATGCGACTCACATTATGTTTTTTCGCAAGACTGGCTTTTAGCGCATCCCGTTTGAAGGTCTAGGCTCTTGGAATTGATAGGGCGATTACAAAAAAAATATATCTTAGAAATTATTTTATTTACCTTTATAAAATAGAAGTTCGAAGAAGTTCTATTGACCTGATTAACATCTGCGAGTCGTAACTCAGGGGCTTCTCGTGACACTGTAGAAAAAAAATAAAATTTATGAAATTTTATTTTATCGGCATGAAAAGGATAACATATATACATATGAAAAAGCCGAGAATATTTAAAAATATAATATCAAAAATGTTTGACTCTGTAAAAATAGATAATTTTAAATATAGAAATGTGAGATTTTTTTTCTAAACTTTTTTATCATCCACTATAAAGTCCACGCCAGAAATAATCTATTTATCTTGTCTTACAGTAATAGAAGAGGTTAAAAGATACATGATAATTTCGATTGATAAAATGTCATATGTAAAAAATTCAATAATCCAAGTTACCATCGATCAAATTACAATAAATATTCCTAGTGATAGCATCAAATCGGTAAATCGTTTGCAAAGAGAGACTGACGCAATGACGAAACTATGCACGTTCTATCATTGTAGAATCATATCGCGACGTCGGTCGTTCAGCAAACTACGAACGTAAGACCTTTTGCAATCCCGGCCGCACGTCTCCGAGAATGGTGTGTCGCGCACATAGTTGTCGCGTGACGTTGGCGGAGAAACGACGCCAACGACAAACGACCCCGGGAACGGCGATACGGAGAATAATAAAAAGAGAGACGGGATCGTGATCATCCGTGATTCCGTGAAAAACTCTAGCAAATATCACGCCGTTGGGCGTCTACGATCGATTACGCACGATATTCTCTTGTACTTTGCTCGAATCTTGCAATTGTATTTGTTCACGAGATTAAAATGCCGTTTTAATTAAATTCTCCAAATTGTGGCGTACGATTATGTAGATCATTTAATTAAATTATATGTTTAATCGTATTGACAATTATCAGCTGATCACGAAAATTCCATTAGAAGACAACTGTAGGGTTCTGATATTTCTTTTTCTCTCGAAAACTCGCGCGAGTTTTGTTACAATTTAATTCTAACAAGTCTGCGAGTCCTTCTTGTGGTATTTCATGTTTAGAATTAAATTACGCATTGCACACAGAGCAATATGGAGATACTCGACTCGCGCGGATTATGCGATACCGACACACGATACTCTTCTTACGTGTGCGTGTCGGCTCTAACCTGCAGCCTGCGTTTTTTTTTTTTTCGCTCTTGCGACACCCGTTATCGGATCAGGCGGATCGAATTAGCGGAACGAGAGAGAACCCAAGAGGAACGCGACCAAAATTAATTTCCGTTGCGACCTTCGCGAACAAATTTCTGCGCGCATAGCAAGAGTGCTGGAGGAAGAGAGGAATATTTTCCGCGATGATCCACTTCTATCGCTACATCCTGCGGAGAAAGAGAAGGCGAAGAGAGGGAGAGACAGAGGGGAGAGAGAGAGAGAGAGAGAGAGAAAAAGAGGACGGTATTTTCGATGACGTAACTTGGAGCGCGCGACGCACGCCGATTGGTCACACAGCCAGATTGCTCATCCGCAGTTTATCCTATACATCCTATACACGATTCTCGTTACCGGCGTGCTATCACGCGCGGACTATGCTCGGCGGCTCGTTTTACGCGATTTATAATCCGACGAGACGGAATTCGCCAGCTAGTCCGATATTTTGACTTCAAATTCCGAGGAATAAATGTTCAATTGGCGATAGAATTTAGCGAGAGAACACGTGCAAAATAAAAATGACAAAATACGTCATACGTCAAATTGATTTGCGATGATCGAGCATCGATGTCTCTTTTTTGCAACAATCAACAGATATCAATGCATATAATAAATATGTATGCACGCTACGATGAAAAAAATATGCATAGTGTTTCAGAATTATCTGATTACTCGACATTTCGGAAGTGAAATCAGCGTGTCGAGTTTAGCCGGAAGTAAAGCATCGAGGCACGCAAGAATGCTCCTGGTATCTCGCGAACGAGGCGTCGATACACTATCCAGGTATCGCGAAAGGTGGGTAACGGGGCGTCCCGGCGGTTACCACTATGAGAATTCTAATTAGAGATAATGACGTCATTAAGGTCTGAGCCGCGACGAGACGAGATGGTCTACTGCACTTACTGTACATACGTACCCTATTTTACGCGCATACACACGCACGCACGCACACACGCGAGTCGCGACTCGCACGCGAAACGAACTTTGTTTCGAGAGCGCACGTCTTACGCCGAGATCGTCCCTCTGATGCGAGCGCACTACTGTTAAACTATTCCCGGGAGAGATTTACATCGTTCGCGTTCGTAGCGGACGGAAAAGGAGGAGGTGCTCTATTCACGACCCTCTCTGTTCTCGCCTATTAGATAAGGCAAACGTCAAACTTGCAATTCAAAACAGTTCGCAAGGTTTATACAACATATTTATGAATTGTTTGATCAATTTTAATTCGATGTTTATTGAACAAATTTTAATCAAATTTTACTTTTTAATAACACATTTTGCATTTTGCATCCATATATTCTTTTGTAATTTAAAATTTCCAAGAAACTATTTTCAATTATTTATATCACTTCAATTCTAAATCGATCAAAAAATTCACTCGATAAGCACGAGACTTTTTATACATGCACTTCAGAAGTAATTTCTAATATGAAAAATTGGTCTACTTTAAAAACAAAAAAATTTTTTTAAAATTAAAACGCTCTTTATTATAGTCTTCGACTATACCAATTCTGTTAATTTCGCTCTTGGAAGAAGCTAGTTTGCTTTAAATTTAAATATAACGTTTTTCTTCGAAATAGTAACTTTTTTTAATCTTAATATAATTCACTCGCCCCTATTACTCTCTATCGCTATCGATACTGTTACTATCAGGGTGGAAGCGACTCACACGAACGGCACAGTCGCGTCACGTCCGGAATAATAATCGCATACGAAAATAATGGCAGCGCCTGTTATCTCTCGTTTCTGCGCGCATACATTACAACGCACGGAGTCATTCCGTGATTCATGACGTTGTTAAAGCAGTTCGCGGAATTACAGTAACGGACACGTCGGCGGACTCTCGACTCCCGACGAGACCGAAGGAATTTGTAAATAGAAACGCGCGCGACAAAAGTCCAGGTAAAATGTTACCTCGCGGTAAAAAAAATTGCAAACTTATCATTTCCGCCTTTTCTTTAAGATCTTAAGCAATTTTCATAATTTTCATTTTCGGCGCACATTTTTAAAGAAACCCTTAAAATTTGTTCTAATATAAATTCATTAAAGTATATATTAATTAAATTTTTTTTGTGCACATTAAGCGATATTTGATTTGGACAAAAACCGCGAGTGTCTACCTGCATCTGGATTCATAGAAAAAATTTGACGGAAAAATTCAATCGATCTGTCGGCGTAATAATAAGCACCCCATCGTCGACGGATACGTCGCTGCTCGTCGCATATTTTCGCGCGCGCGTTGGATAACAGCCTCGTAACACGGCGCGTCGCGGTGACACAACTCTGTTCGTGTTAAGTTCCGAGCTCGTCGGCCAACAAAGCGGTGTACGGGACGAGGGACGATGGTGAAAAGAAAAGAGACGGCAGAGATTCAGCCGACGTTTCAAGTCAGGCCGAAAGTCTCGCATGTGCGTGTGATTCTCCAAGCCCTCCTGTGAGTTCTCTCTTTCTCTTTCTCTCTCTCTCTCTCTCTCTCTCTATCTAACTTTTGCATATTTTTTTCGCTGGTACATCTCCGATCTGATCGTCTTGTCTTTGTCGGCGGGGCGTCGCAGATCTCTCTCGCTTCGTCCTGGACGTGTGACGTCAGTGCGGATACCTGTTGCATGCCACACTGAGAGGGAAAGAGAGAGAGAGGGAGATAGAAAGAGAAGCGTTGGTGCGTGCAACGAATGATCGAGGCGCCAAAGAATCGAGAAAAAAAAATAAAGATCGATCTCTTCCCTCGGGGTAAAATCTCCTCAGATTCTGCATCGCGCAAGGTCAATTGCAAAATTTAATTAATTTATATAGTAGAATTATTTAGTTATTTAGTTAGCGATAACGATTACAAAAGCATAGATTTGTTTCTTTTTTCGTTTCAGGCACGTGCAAGCTTGTTTTCTGAAAAAAATTATTTATCGCGAGAAGAATCATCGGAGGAGAAACGTATCGGAGAGGATTATCGATATTTTTAAAAATGTCAGATTCGGCGAGAGACGAGTACATCTTGCGCAACGCATCGTTTCTTTATCCATCCGCGACTTTTGTTAAGCACGACGCCGATTTGTCACGATTATTATCATCTTTATAGTGATATTAATCGCGTTCATAGACTATGCCGACGAAGCGGCGACAGTCATTAAATACCAATGGCGGAAGGGGCATCGAGGGTGAGCGCGACTAGCTCGCTGGGCTAGCTTTTCAGAAAGATCGGAATCAACGAAAATAGACGAGGCACGGGGCTGCCGTCTCGTTTGGATGTTCGCCAGTAATGTGGCGCCGTGGAAAAATCTTTATAACGAGAGAGGAAAAGAGAGAGAGAGAGGCAAAGAGAGGCAAAGAGAGAGATAGATCTTACACTCGTTTCACGAGTTATTCACACTGAGAAAAAAAAGTTGTTAACTTGACTAAACCACTTAACTAAATTATTATTTTTTTAATTGAAATATTTAACTATTTAAATTAAATAATACATATTAAATTTAACATGACATCTATTCAACTTAAATATTTCAATATTTCAATTAAAAAAATAATAATTTAGTTAAACGATTTCATCAAGTTAACTTTTTTTCTCAGTGCAGAATCGATGGTTGTATATATTATTCGTCTTTTTCTTCTTCATGTAGTCCGTTTTTTGGCTCTTTCGGAATAGTGTATATTACCACTTTCTTCCCTTTCTATCTATATCCTTTTCTCTTTCAATACTCTTGCTTATTGCTAACGATATAGTTTGCTTTTTATCATATTTTTGTCTAAAAAGAACAATGTTGTACGTTTAAAATGTATAATGATCTTCTCTTTTTCGTCCAAGTTATTCAAATCGGATTCGATATTAATAATGAATCATTTTTTGCGCATACATTAGATTGGCAATCAATCCGCTGTGTCACGCTAGGAGCAAGAAAGAATAACGCGATCATATCTGTGCGTGTGCGTAAAAAAACGTGTAGTCACTCAGCTGTGGCTCTCGCAAGCAATTTGGAGAAGAAATTATCGCGCGCAACGTTGATAAAAAGCAAACAGACTTATAGCGAGCAAGCGATGATAACCGAGACTGTGCGTATTATTCCGTACCCTTCTCATTCAGTGATTCTCTAAGCGAGTACTTTCTTATCATGCCACGGAAACGACCTGTGACTTTTACGCATGCACTACAAATCACACATTTATTCATCAAGAATTAGTGATCAATTTCATATGAACAGCTTGTATAGAAGATATCTATTTATATCTACTTATATCGAAGATGAAATTATGCACATAACAATGTATGAAAATATAAATGCCTCTCTCTCTCTCTCTCTCTCTCTCTCTCTCTCTCTTTCTTTCTTAATATAAATATTTTAGATTATTATCCTGTTAACGTATCTGATAGATTTCTTAGCGATATTCTACACATTCTGAAAATACTGATTTATTTTAATTAAAATTGTGCGTATAAAATTAATTTTATAATGTTTAGATATTACACAAAGCTCAAAAAAAAATGTATAGTAATATTATTCAAACTGTTCAATATTATTACTAATAATATTATATTTACGATAATCGTAAATAATTAAGAAATTTCCTTCAAATTCCTTCAATATTTATTCTACAAAAACCGTAAAGTTTAGAATATTTAATAGATAAATAAATAAATTGGATTAAAAGATTAGCGACTACTAAATGAAAAGTTAAATGAGATGTAGAGCGATTAAATGACATTCTCGATAAAAATATCCAATATTACTATTAATACTTTAATTTTCTCCAAGTGGATCTCACGGAAATTCTATGTACCATCTTTTAGCATCATCTCGTGATCTTGCGACCGATATTCGCCGGATATAGCAGTATCGCTATCGGACTTCCGCCTCCATCGGAAAGTCGAGGAATGCGGTTGAGAGTCGCTGTCTTAAAACACGCTCCGGTCGCCGGCACGGAAATAGAACGATTGGACCTTAACGCGCACTTTTGCGCCTTTATGTAACCCGGCCAAATTTATGGCCGTTATCTATTTAATAATACGCGGATTTACTCGCGCCATTCGCAAAGATCAAACGATCCCACGCACGCACACTGTCGCGCGCGAGCGCGCACGTGCGTGCCGCGACATACACACACGCACGTATGTATGTACGAGTGTGTATATATGTATGTATGTGTGTGTATGTGTGCGCGCACACGTCTGACGTAAATTTCGCGCCAGTGCGTTCACCTCTTCGATCTCATCGCTCGTTCTTCACGGACGCTTGATGTCGAGTTGTTAATTCTCCTCGCTCGAGGAACATCGAAAACTACTGTTCGATCGACGGCTGGCTGTCTAAATAAAGGCACGTTCGCCGCTCTACGCGGATCCGTCTCTCTCGCTGGACTTGCCCTGTTTTCGGCTACCGCTCCCCTTTCACTCATTAGGATAAGTCGAGATACATGGAAAAACGGAATAAAGCAAGAGTCCCGTTCGATAAATCTTTTTCAGTGTACCTTCAACGAAAATTCGACAAATCTTTTTAAATTTTACGCGTATGTTGGAAAAATAATTGACTCAATGCCTTTATTCAGTTCATTGTTCTATTAGCATTTATATTCGAGTTCATTAAGACCAGCTGGTTGTCTATTCTATTTGAATGAATAAAATATAGAATGCCTCGCGTTTTTCACCAATATAATTTTCTGCAGGTAGTACTACTTATTACTAGTTATTGGAAGAATCTAAAGGGCATAGGCAAAGCTTGTCTATATCTAACTATATCAATAATCGAATAACATCGTATAATTGGCGCATTTAGTCGTTAACTATATTTTTTAGACCTTATACACGTATTCTTTCCATTCTGTTTCTTTGATCGTATTTACATATATATTTATTAATACACGCGTACGCAATTTTATGAGCACGGGACGTTTGATATAGTTGCAAGATAAGACTTATCTCACCTCTACATGAATTTTTGCTCTACACACGTAGCTCTTATAGTATAAATTCAATCTGATCAAAATCTATTTTTAAATTTGAACAATCCGTATACGTAAAGCGTGTAAAAACCTAACAAACAATATACTTTCGTATTGTTTTTCTCCCATTTTTTAGTTTGTATAAAAAACATTCTACGTACGTGAAAAATCATTCGAGTCGATCGTCTAGAACGATTCGCAGCATGGCTTTACGAACATGAAATATTACGATTTGTATCTACATATGTAAGTCTATTTAGACGAGACGATTTCCAAACTATATATGTGTGTCGTAAAAGAGCAATTCATACGTAACGTAATTTAATTTTGTAACATGTCGTATATCACTACTATTCTCCATTCAATGATATATGATAATGAATTTATTTTTACAATCTTTTTGTATCGATCGTGCAATTTTTTTTTATTGCAACAATAAACATAATAATTTTCCATTTTTTAAAATTTAGAAATAAACTTATTGTAAGCGATATCCAAAATAAATTCGAAAGAAATTGCGTATGAATTGATATTTTAATAATATATGGTTAAAAATCGTTTCACTAAATAAACTTTAGGCCTGGAAATAAGTACAATTTCGGTGAGTTTAAATTCCTCGATGTTACGTAAATATAAAAAATGTTTACATTTATTATAGTAAAAATAAAATATTCGACATAAAACGTTTTCGTTTATTATTCTTTTTTCTTCGTAACATCGTTAAATTCATCTTGGAATTCGCGCGAGAGATACGCGCTATTACTCGCCCGCCTGTTTGTTCGCCGGCGATTCGTCAATTTCCTGCGACGTCGAATTGACGTAACGGAAAGGGTAGTGACGGTATTCCGGGCATGCCAGGAACAACGAATCGCTCGCACATATCACGAGCAATGGACATTTTTCCGCTCGCTAATAACACGCGTTATCGACACATACCTTTACTCGTGGCGTCTTCGGTGACAGCTGCCTTCGGAACGACTTCCTGCGCTCCTCTCTCCACCGGTTTGCGTCCTCGTGACTGTCACGATGTCGGAAGATAGTGCGAGACTTGATCGTAGCAAAATCCAAATAATTCCGGAAAATAGAGATGGCGGCCGCGACGACGGTAACGCGATAGGCGCAAGCTCTCGCGCTATTACGCGAATCTTGCGAAACGCGGCGACAAGGTCGTGCGTGACACGGGACATTTCTCATTTACGCGGAGACTCGGTGATTCGAGCTCGTTGGTTCGCGTTACCGAGATAAAACGTCGGCGAATCGCGACGCGAGAGAAGGAACAACGATGTGCGCGCGTGCGCGCGCGCTGGCGATCTCGCAATTAGCCGGAAAAGCGTCGTAAAAGGCGTCAACTGTCAACCGTATCCACCGTAGATAACCGGCTGGCAGACGGACGAGGACTGAGTAGAGCGACCGATCGCTCGCGGATCCCCTCTCTCGCTCACACGCGCTCCGCGCTTCCCCCTCCTTCCCTCCTGCGCCGCGCGACGCTCACCATCATTCTACGTCTCGCGCTGCTTCCCCCTCTCCCTCCCCGTCCCCCTCCCTTTACCTTCTTCGCCGTTTCGACTCCCCGCTATGACTCGGCGGTCTTTGCGACACATCGCCGCGAAGCATGCGTGAACACGGTGGAAGGGGGATACACGAGGTCGGAAAACACGGAAATCGTACACACATACATACGACATAAACATACCAGCCGAAGAGACACGCAGCATTGTTATGTACAAAGTTTGCTCGCACGAAAATCTTTGTAGCTTGTATCCGGTAAGTTATGCTTACAATTAGATAAAGAGAGAAACGAAATAGGAAGGATATTTTACTAATAATATACATGTATATATTTGATACCATATACGCATAATTTTTTTTCACTTTTTCTTCTCTAATATTTAAATTTTAGTGAAAAATTTTAAAGAAAAAGTTTTGTCCAGGAGTATATAAGCAATAGAATAATGCTAAAAGTATATTTAGAATATATAATACCAAGTTTTTATATCAAGCCGACTTCAATTATCGAGCAAACAGAAATATTAACGAACGAATGTGAATGAGTGTTAGATATTAATTTAAAAAATTTATTTTTAGGTAATAGCTTATAAAATTTATATTATATAAAATTGTGAATTGGCACTTGTTTTATATTCGTTCGTTATTGTTTGTTTTTTTTCTTATCCCAGAGCCCTTATTCTGTAATTTTTAACGCTTGCGTTATGTATCACTGCACAGGATTTTTATATCATATAATAATTGCGCAACATACATAACGTAAGCGTTAAAAGTTACAGAATAGAGGCCCTGAATCAAGCTTTACGCAAGAAATATCGTTTTATGAACGCGCAATAATTTTTGAGATATGTGTAAAATTGTATATCTGATGGCATGAACGTTTATAAATATTTACTATTTCGATTCGAAATGACGGATATTTCTCAATGAGAATACTGATAACTACGATGTACCATTTAGAT